GTTACTAATAGATGAAGATGCAGTCATTTAAGTCAGGAAGTCAGATTTGGCCAATCTAGAAGACATCTTAAAAGCTGGTACATCAGTTTGGCTAGGGAATTCCATTGTAAAGAGAGAAATATGAGAACTTCTTTGCTGCCAAAGCACTTTCTTTGATGAAAGAGTTGCTATCAATTACCAATGGAATTTTGAGGTCAGACTTGTTATGATGCTGTATTTTATTTCACTTTTTATACTAACTAACTTTCTAGGTTAAAAAACAGAATATCTAGTTCAGATTTAAACTCTTTTCTGTTTTCTTTATGGAAAATATTAGTGCAAAGTTTCTCCTGGGAATGGCCAGTTTGAGATACAGTAACTTTATAAAATACTTTTACTTTTCTTAGGCCTAACTTACACAATATTTCGTTTCTGTTCAATACAACCAAGTAACTCAGCCTTCAGTTTGTCATTAACTTTGCTTGAGTCACTATCATAGTCAAAGGGTCATTCAGTTGTCATTCAGGTGACATAACCACAGGATGGCCAGAAAGCTGTGTTTCAAAGGTATTTTAACAGAATGCATCAGATACTTTACAATACTTTCCCCATTTACTGAATGTGCCTGAATGCATCCCATTTTTTGGGAACCAAATAATTATTCTTTCCACTTTGTAATACACTATAATCACTTTCTGGCCTTCTTGAAAATTGTTCACTGAATCTGAGCAACAGCAGATCTGTGTTAAGCACCCTCTCTTCTGTAATGACAACCCAACTTTAGTTTATGTGATTTAATTTTGTGATTTTCTCTTACCAAAGAGCCCAAGGAGTGTTTGTGCCATTTATCATGACAGTGAATTGATTCATGATTCATAACAGAACACTATGCGTTGTGAGCTGAGCATTGTCAAAGGTATAATGTCATTTATAGTATACATACACATATATAGTATCATCAGATGAAACTCTGAGATCTTTTGTTCCCACCATGGTGCTCTTCCTCCTCCATTCAGTAACACCAGAGAAATAACTTTATGCATTGCTCATTTTTAAAGCGACAGACAATAATGACTGTGGTGGCTAGATACCGTTGGGTTTTATGCATAACCCATATGTATTACTAGCAGTAGCCTACTTTCTCCAGCAAAGTAGATGAGGGGAAATATATCATTTTGTAAAATTTCTGTATGACCCCCTCTGCTGCAGACACAACTTTGTCACACTTTGGCCCTCTCTCCCCAGTTGCAGGTGGAGGATCCCAGAAGCCCACCACACAATACCAACACTTAGGTGAGGTGATAATAAACAGACTTTATCATGAGAAGCGCTGAAAGCATGAACCGCACGAGACATTGCCAGGCACCAAAGCCACCATCCTGGGCCCTGTCCCAAAATCTACTCTCCCCTGACCCTTCTGTTTTACAACCTGCCTTTGGAGACACAGAGGCAGATAATGGGCAATAAACACTACACTGCAAACTTTATTAGGCTAATACACCACACCACTGCACATCATTTGCTGTACTGTGGCCAGTAATCCCACAGCAAGCTTTTGTCCAAAAGTCCTGCTCATGAAATTACTCTCATGTACAAAAACAGACACCGCCTCCAAAGTAAAAAACTACCCACATTCGATAATCTTGCTCCTTCGGTAAACTATGATGGGGAAGCCCAAGTGTATAACAACAGGAACCTTGGACATAAGTGTAAGAAATCAGGAGAGAAGCTATAAAATAATAAGATCAGTGGAGTCAAGGAGGAGGCAAAGTAGTTATGCAGTGAGGAGAGAGTAACTTTGCAGTGAGGAGGCACAGTAACCTTGCAGTGAGGAGACACAGTAACTCTGCAGAGAAGAGAGACAGTAACGTTACCGTGAGGAGACACAGTAACTCTGTAGTGAGGAGGCCAAGTAGCTATGCAGTGAAGAGACACAGCAACAATGCAGTGAAGAGACACAGTAACTATGCAGTGAGGAGACACAGTAACTATGTCCACTGCCAGTGTATGGCCTGCATATATCCCACAGGCCAACAACTTTCCCTGCAGGTCAGCTGCGCAAAGTCGATTGCCCAGTTCTTACCAATCCAGCACACCCAAGCTGCAGATGGCCCACCTCTGGTTACTTCCCTTCACTTGCAGGCGTGTCACACCTCTCGAGGAGTGCCCCGGAGCTGCTCTCATAATCCTCCACTCTGTCTAGAATGTCATCTGTGCTGCAAGATTACACACGGCCAATTTTCAAATTTTCCGGCAGACACATGGCTCAGTTATGCATTGGAATATACAAGCTTTTCAACGCGGAGCAGTCAGCCATGTCTCTCGGTGCCGTCTGGGTGATAACTTCTCTTTTCCCTTTTCTCCGCAGCCTTGCATACACACATACACCAAACTGGCTAGCCACGTGAGACTGCCAGACCTTTTTGTCTTTTGTCTGTTTTCTTCTGTTCATTGTTGTTTCACTCTCTCGGCAAAAGCAGTGCACTTTTCTCTATCTTCTGCAGGTGCATCCTGCTTGTTTCAGCTCATTCTGTGCAGCATGACACCAGCAACCTTACGTATGGTGGGCTCCATCCCACACTTTTTTCACTGAATCAGCACAAAACGCACAGGTAGGACACAAACAAGTGCAACCAACCAATTAGAGATGATAAACTCACTGCGCACAAGCCATTATCTATCATGTTTCCTCAATTGACCCCCCCCCCCAGCCCCCACCCCCACTTCCTTTTCTGCAGGGTCTGTTATTTGCATAGTAACATAGAATAAATTCTATTCACTGGAATGATCTGGCCTTGTACTGTTCCAAGTAAAGTATTGTAGCATCTGTTTGCTGTGGTGAAATATTCCAACTCCATTTGGAATTTTTAAAAGCCACGGACATTGATTGAACACACAAGCATTCTAGTTGGCATTGCCTACCACCGCATTTTCCATATTAATGTTGTTTGTGATTATTTATAATAAGCCCACTAAATCATATAAAATGGATTGACAAAAAAGTGTTTTTGTAGAGGTTTGCATTTGTAGAGTTCATGCCAGGTACGACATATTCAACATTGTATTCATTTGCGGCATTCTCTATATATAAACTGAGGGCAGGCAAAGGAAGATTACAAGAATAAGTAGCATCGTGGTAATTTATATTAGTAAGGGTGACATTGTCCCCTGCTACTTCTGTAAAGAGGTGTTGCAATAATGTGGCTTGGCCCAGCTCATATACTTAATAATTAAATCTTCTCCACAGTCTCCGTCTCTCTCTCCCCCATGTAATTTTAAAGATAGCAACTCTCTATCTCAGTGGTTGATAAAGCCAGAAACTTCACACCTTGCTCAATCCTTTGGGGGAAACTACAGCCTTTCAAGGGACTGTCCTCCCTTCTTTGGCAAAACTTGCAAGAGACATGAATTTAAAAATAATGATTCTTCACTTTAAAGAGAGACTAAATTTGAAGAAGTATCTCCATACTTAAGTCTGAATTATGGTCCCTGACGGACAAAAGTCCATTTTGATTATGGGGTTTGCTGTTGATTAATCTGGCTGTGTGGGGAGTTCAGCTCAAAACTGAGCTTAATTGTTTTGTCCGATTTGCTAGGAAGGGATACAATGATAGAGAGAGGGCCAGTGGAAAAGTACAATCAATTCACTTACTTAAAGATGTCCAAAATAAGATTAGAGAGAGGAGGAGAGAGAGAAACCCCCACCCTCCTTCACCACACCATATTCTCTGCCCCCAAAAGGAAAAAGTGTGATTCCAACACTGATGTCAATATATTCCTGCAAGAAAAAAAGGGCGTGGCCCCACGGCAGAGTAAATCTCCAGTTCCCAGAGTGCATTGCTCAGTCTCAACCCACCAGGCCTCCCATGGAGGGCTGAATCCCCCTAAGGCTGGCTCCCTGAGGCTGGTGGAGGTTTCCCTGCCTGCTGTAATTGCACATCCTGCTCTAAGGAGCAGCTGAGGTGGGGAGGGCGGAGCAACCCCCTGCCCCCATTCCTGGCGAAATAGTAAGCTGTATGACAAGTCTGGGGCTATCTACATCAATGTTTCTCAACCCTACTCCTGGCAGCACCCTGTCCTGCATATCTTCTATCCATCCTTTCTCTACCTACCTGACTGAACTCATCAGTGGCACATTTTATTAGCTGAGCACACCTGATTTAATCAAGCAGCAAGGATAGATAGAAGATATGCAGGACAGGGTGCCGTCAGGACTAGGGTTGAGAAACACTGATCTACATTGTGGCTAAAGGGAGTGACTTGTAAACCCACTTACTGCAAAAAAGCTAGCACTTGTTACGAAACGCTTTGTATATATAACTACTGAATATCGATGCTTGATAGCAGATACATATCACAGTGATTCAGACTAGTCTGAGCCTTGAAATCCAGCCGTCGTAAATTACTCTGGATGACAGCGTTGGGCAAATGAATAAATGTAAGTGCAAAATTGTTGTGCAGTTTCTGCTCCGTTCTAATTCAAACACACTGGAATCATTCACTCCAATGCTACCACTGTGCCCTGGCTGTGCGAGAAAAGGTTCATTCATACAGCACAATTCAGTGCTATCTGTGGCAACATTGTAGTGTTTTCAGTGTCCTGTGCTTTAATCAAACTCTTGTAAATTTCACAAAAAGTAGTCTGTGCAAATGTGCACCCTGGGATGCCAAATGAAAAGGACCCTGGGATGCCACACCAAATGTGAAGGGTGCAAGTTTGTACACTCACTTGCAGGGAGCAATTGAGGGCAAGTGAAAGTTCCTTTTGCAGAGTGGGAAACCTTTGACCATGTGACTTGGTACAATTTTGAGGGGACATGCTAAGGGCAAGTGAGCAAAATAGCCAGCTGGGAGGCAGGTTATTACCACAGGTAGGTATTACCACATTACATTGCTGTCATTTAGTAGATGATCTTATCCAGAGCAACTGACATCAGTTACAATTTTTACATGTTATCCATTTACACATTTGGATATTTACTGAGGCAATTTTGGGTTAACTACCTTGCCCAACGCTACATCAGCAGTGCCCCAGTGGGGAATTGAACTGGCAACCTTTCGGTTACAAGCCCTACTCATTACCACTGTGCCACACTGCTGCATCGTGGAACCCCATGCCACATTGCTTTGGGGAGGCCCTTTCATAGAGTGCAGAATCCTTGATCACTTATCGCATGTTGAGCTAGTGCTTTAAATAAGTTAAAGGTGATGTCAGTTGGCTTTAGACTAATAAAACTCAGTGACTCCTCTCTACCTTGTTAGTGTGCCAGAGGTACCCACATTCTTGCCTTTACACTTCAGTTACTCTGGAGACTCAAGTTCAAAAAAGCCTCAGATGCACTGGAACCGAAACCATTTGTATCCTTAAATAGATTCACCAGTGAGATATGGAACTGTGGACCTTAATTAGGTGTTATTACATTTCCCAGACATCAGTTCATGCAGAAATAATTGCTGAAACCTGGGCCACATAGGGTATATTACAAAACTCCTGGCCCTTACGTGTTCCAAATAGTGTGCCCAAAAAAAAAGTCACTGTGAGAGTCCTGCTTTTAATATTAGTTCACAAGTGAGCCGATTCAACTCTCACTTCTCTGACAGTAATGAATATGAAGCTATTAAAATAAAAAAAAAGTAATTAATGGCAGGCAGCTGAGCATTACTTCCATTGACGGGGTTTCATATCGATTTCACCATTGAGTTGATCTGCTGAATATTTTGCATGCAAATATATCTGAATGTACATTATCTGAAAGGCGTATTGGCCTGTGGTGGTAATACAGATAAATTAGATATTTACTGTAATGAGATTCATCATGTGGATCCAGCACTTGCAGCATTTTGATTTGCCTCTGTTTTTTCCTTTCAAGTTAAATACTCAGCATCATTTTTAATCATCAGGGAAAAAAAGGTATGTCCTTGTTTGTCCTCAGGTTCTGTGGCGGCCGTGGCATTATTTTTTTTAGGTCGAAAATTAGGTTCAACCTCATGCATCGAGTAACATTAATGAAAGCATCTATTTGTTCCACAGAGGAGTATAACTTTTGCAGACAGGGTTGGAACATCACTACATTGAAGAAAATAACTTCAGTAAAAAGTGTGACAGACATCCTTGGTCTCCTCTACATAAAAGTTTATATATAGTAACAAGTTGAAATTTAGTCTCATGCCTCACGCTGTGAATGTCTGCTTAAAGTCATGATGTCTCTGTAAAGAAAGGACGTTTGAAGTTTAGCCTATCCCTTGACAGGTAAAAGGGTCATGGAGTTGTTTTAAAGCGAAACTCCACTCAAACAGCGTAACATTTGGTTTTCTTTCCAGTCCAGAAGACTTTCTTTGATTGTGAGAGCTGCCCTGCAAACAAGTGAAAATAAATGTTATTTTTGCCAGAAATATTGTCTGCACAGCTCAGATTCATATTGTTCACACATAATGGGTTTTAAACCAGAAAACATGAGGGTCATACTTCTTCACACCTTTACATAATCTCTAAACCAGCTATTACTGGTTACTGTTTACCACTATTCCAATAACCACTGATTATTGGAAGTTCAGCAGAAGCTTCTGATATCATATCAATGTATTCAAAGGTTTCCAGTTCCCTTTCTTATACAATGACCTAACACACAGTAGAGAATCATCAACAGCATGCATTATCATAGTTAAGGTCAGCTCTCTGAGGACTGCAGGTAATTGGTCATTGACCTCGCTACAGTCTGCCAGGAGGAGGATGCATGTCTATTTTTAGACAAGTGGTCCTGAAGGCAGCTGTAAATGTAAACATAGTTGGAGATCCCCTAGGCAAATAGGTATCTTCATTTTAAAAAATGTCCAAAAGAACCATTTAAAGTTGCATGAATGAATGTTGCATTCTTGACTTGGTTGCAAGAAAAAAGCCTATTCTGAAGACAAGCAGAAAAAGAGGCAGCTTGAATTTCTGAAAACTATATCTGAATGATTATGGAAGTATGTGTCATGGTTAGATGAAAATTGAGCTTCATGGGCATGCTAATCAACTTTATGTTTGGCATAAAAAGTTGAAAACTATGTTGAGAAAGAACCCATGGCCACTATGAAATATTGCACCTTGGGGTTGTTTTGGGTCTACTGGAGCCCTTGTCATGATAATAGTACTTATGAACTCAAACACATACCAGGACAATTTGGCCACAAACCTGGTTCCCTCTCCCAGGAGGCTCAAACTTGGCTTAACGTGAATATTCTGTTATGCCAAAGATTCTAATTAATTCATCCAGACCTACAAAGAAATGGTTTACTGAACACAAAATAAACATTCTCAGCTGACCTTCTCAGACTCAGTTCATAAACAAAAGCAATTCACAAATGAAAGCTAAAAGATCTGAAAGACCCAGAGCAATTCTGCCAGGGGGAATGGTGAAAAATCCGCCTCAATAGAGCCATAGCCTCCTAAAATGCTACAGTAAGCAACTCATCTAGAATCCATGCCAGAGGAGGCTTTTTACTAATTACGGGGATGTGAATTAATGTGACCCTTGTGTTCTCTGGAATAAAATGTATTATTTGGGCACAGTATTACTTTGCTCTGTGAAATTCTATTAAGATTAAAGTACACAGTTTAATTTTTTAAGAAGAAGAAAGAACCAACATGCATTTTTGTAGCATGTTTTTACATCTATTTAGTCAGGACTATGAATAAATATGGAAGGTGCTGTAAGTCTGTTATGAATGTAGCTTGTTAGAGAACTAGTCAATATCCAGAGTTTCAAGACCTATACAATACTGTATACATCTCAGCTTCATAAAATATTTACAAATGACAATAATAGTGAGAATGATGATCATTTGTTATTGTATTTTGCTGTCTCATTTACTTTATTTGGTCCTCTGATCAGATGCTGTATGGTCAGGTTTTAACAGCTCTTTAAGCACAGGACAACACCTAAGAACTCAGGCATTTTATTTCCTGGGTCTTAACAAGCATAATCCTGTAAAGTCTAAACTGATCTACTACCTTAATATAAAAACTGATTCATTTTCATACAAGTACTAGTGTAAATGAAAAGGATTGATTAGTCCCATTAGTATCATACTATATGAAGACAGTTATATTGTTAATGGGTTATTGGACATTCCATTTTACTTACAATTAAAAGCAATTTATGGAAGCTGGGTAACCTTTCCCTTTATTTTTCATTTAAATACTCTTAGTGCATTATGTTTAGGGTATTAATTCCAGCCCTAATGCCAATTAAAATGAATTATAACCTGAATTAAAACATTTAAAAATGACATCTATCTGAGTTATTTCAATGGTAATTCTAAGAAATACTGTCTTCATTGCTTGAAAATTGGTGATGCAACACAGTTGTAAAGGAGGGATTATTTGTGGGTGAAAAAAAAAAAAAACAGAATCCAACTAATTAAAAAATGGAGAGACTTTTGATGTCTGCTTTGGGAGGAGACTGGGGCGGAGGGATTTTTTTTTGGGGGAGGGATTGGCTGGAGCAGCTGTGCAGTCTGTGGAGGAGAGTGGCGGAGAGATACGGAGGCAGAAAACTAAGGGAAGGCGGTAAGTGGGGCGGTAGGGAGGAGGCGCTGAGAGCGCCCCCCAGGGATTTCGCCTGACTCCGGGGGTCCCAGGCTGGGCTCCAACATTGCCATCCCTCATCGTAATGAGCGCTCGGAAATTTCACGCTTTGCAGTTCTAGGGAACTGCTCTGGGACCAGCGGCCGTGGTTTTTTCTTTTTCGTTTTTTTTTCCCTCTTTTCTTTGAGCGCTGTGCAGTTCTTCGGTCAATGAACCCATGCAGATGCGGAGAGCGGCGTCATTCTTTGAAGATAACGGACGCTGCAGAGAAAGTTGAACTAACAAGCCTCTGAAGTAGTGGCTGGGCTTCACTCCCTGAAGTCTACAATGTCAGAAATGCAACAGCACAGCTCTTGAAGAGCTGTCCTCCGTTTACTTGTCTGTTTGGAGACTATACATTCAAAATCCTGTGGTCTTACTTGTGCCCTGAATGCCATTTTTTTCTGAATTTTGTATGTTATGCCTAAATAGTTCACACACACAATATACTTCCATTAAAAAAATCATTTTAAAATCATTCTTTAATCAGTAATTTCACAGTGTTTGCACTGTAAATGTAAGTGTACATTCTGAAGTTTTGTTGAAACTACTTTACATAGGTAAGTTGGTTATTTCATTGCATTCTTGGAAAATGAAATGAACGACAAAAAGTATTTGCATAATGAAGCTTAACTTTGTATACACAGAAAACAATCACAAACTCCTTTAAAATGGTTGTATTGGAAAAGTACCCCATTGCTACACTACATCAGAAACCTTTCTCTGGAGATTAATTTTCAGTAATTCTAGACTTTTAGGGACACATGAAAACTGAAAACATAAATGATGTGTACATACAGAATTGTAAGAGGAGGAAAAAAGTTTATCACCAGACAGCACTTTTCCAACAGTTGTTTCTTTGTATGGGTGCTGCCCCTGTGCCATAGGTACTGCATCTATCATAATTTGTTGCCTGGAAATGTCAAACAAACCCCTTCTCATGCTGGCAGAGTTCAGACAGATTGGCAGTTTGTCTGCTATTGTTGACAATTATGGTTTTATCCCCAGATGTCCACTTCAAATGGTTTGGGAAATATACCATATCAATCCACCACCACATAACTGTCACACCACCCATTGCTTTAAGTGAAACATGTACAGTAGGAATACATATTGTAAGTGCTGTTTTCTTGCTCTAGGCAACCACATCTCGCTATCTTACTGAGAAAGGATGATCGTGATTTGTCATGGCCTTCAAAGCAACTACTCTTCCAGGCAAAAGCAACACAGAAGAATAAAGCTGCCACATTAAATGAACACAGATAAGATACTTCATTGTGGACCATACATGACACAAATGCTAAGAGAACTTTTAAAATCTGAACTCATTAACTGTTATTGTAATCCAACGGCCACAAAGGACTCAAAATGTCTGCCCTGATCAGAGTGGAGCTCTTTCAAAAACTATTATAGAATACCTGTTTGTATTCAGTAAGTATTGTGGAAAATAGTCACAGTGTGAAATGTGGGTAATATATAACACAATGGCGT